CAGATTTCGCTGAAGCCGCGCGCGCGCAGCTGGAGGCCGACCACGCAGAGATGCTCCTGGCGAACCCAGGCGGCGGCAGTCAGAACTGGTGCCTGTTTCGCTACCAGCTCACTGCGACGCTTGTGGATGGCACCACCTCGTCTGCCAGCGAGCTGGAGGGCATCAGGGTGCGCAGTTGTGGCAACGACCCGGCAGTGTGGGAGTTGATGGAGCCGCCCCGCGAGGCGCACCTGGTGGCGGTCAAGCTGAGTAACGACCGTCTCAACCATCGCCGGCGTGATGCGGAATTCCGCGCCCTCGCGCACGTTGCGGGCGTCATGCGCTCGTTGTTCCCAGATGCAGATGCGTTGATGGCTGCACGCTTCCGATGGGGTGAGCACGTCAGCGGATCGCTGCAGATATACGTCACGGAGGTACCATGTCTATCCTGCTTAGGGGCTATGGTTCAGTTTTCACGACGGTTCCCACATGTTCGAATCCGAGTCTCCTACCCCGGAACATGATGTGAGCCGAGAGGAGTCGACCCTGCGCTGCAGCTGCACGCGTCCGCAGTCTGGATCACTTTGTGAAGGCGATGCTGGGTGTATTTCGGCAGCTGGCTCTCTTTATTACCAGATGCTCGTTTGTTTGTCGAGTGTCAGCGCGGTTTTATTCTTTCGACGAAGTTGTGTTTTTACTTCATCTGTACATGCATGGCGTCTGCGAGCATGGTCAGCCTGGCATAGGGAACGTGGAGAGGGTATGCCGTTCCGCCGACGACGCCGAGCCTGTTCTCGTCTCAGATGTCACAGCAGTCGGCTCGCTGAAGAGGCTGACGCCATTCCGGCAATCGTTGAGTTCTGTTCGGCGCAGCCAAGCCTCGTCCTCATTCCCCCCCCTCATTCCGGATGTCGCAGTTGGCGGCGCCATCGCGAGCCAAGGAATCTTTCCCCTTATATATCCTTCCCCAAACAATCACCGCCCACCAAACCACCCCAACCCAACCCGAAGGCCCCAATTCGCCCTCCATTTCCAGTTGGGGGGGGGGTCGGGGAACATTGGAAAAAACAATGAAACCCTTCCCCCCCCCACCCGAAGTTCGGGTCTTCGGGATGGGTTGGGGTGGTCTGGTAGGTAGTCAAACAGTGCTTGCACCAGCGGTTTTTATTGAAGATGCCGCGCGGTCGGTCCTGCCGACCCCGAGGTGGGGATCGGGAGGGAGGCTCCAGGAAGGCCACGCGGACTCTTGCAGGCCCGCCTGGGTCCTTTGGGTGGTGGTGGGCTTGTTTTGCCCCGCCACCACCAGAAGTAGGAAAAAGGGGGTCCTCCTCCTCCTCTTCTTCTTCCTCCTCCTCCTCCACCTCCTTCCCCTCCAACTTCTGGTGGCCTGATGGGTGGCCTCTCGGGGGCCTCTCGGAGGCATGTCTCGAGTCTCTTGTTGTCTCCCGATTTTTGGAAGCCTCTCCGGGCCTCTTGGGGGGCCTCTCGGGGCCTCTTTTGGGCCTCCTCGGTCTCCTGAGACCTCTTGGGTGCCTCTGGAGCGCCTGCTGGCAGTCTCGGGGGTCCTCAAGGGGTGGAGGGTTCGAAACGTCGATTCAGATCCCCCCGCTTGAATCTTGGGGCTCTCTTGGGCCATCTTGGGGGCCTCTTGTGCCGTCTCTGGGCTCTCTTGGGCCATTTTGGGGCCTTCTCGGGAGTCTTGTGGACCGTCTTGGGACGATCTTGGGGGCCCCATGGGCCGCCTTGGGGCGTCGCAAGCCTCAAAAAGCGAGAATGCTAACATCCTTTCAAAAACGTACGGGAAATCACTGATTTTGCCTCTTGAGGCTCTGTTGCAGGCACTCTTGGAGCCCTCTTGCAGCGTTTTGTTTTTGTTGAGGCAGTTTTAAGCTGGTAAGGGCGGCGACCGCTACATTCGGGAGGAGGAGGAGGAGGAGGAGGAGGAGGAGGAGGAGGAGGGGGAGGAAGAGGAGCTGGAGGAGGAGAAGGAGGAGGAGGAGGAAGAAGAAGAAGAGAAGAGGAGGAGGAGGAAGGGCATGAGGATGTATCCACTGCTCCCTGGCCAGACCCATCCTGAACCCAGGAGCCGTGTATACGCCCTTCTGGCCAAGCCAGGAGGGCGTGGCGTATGCACCGCTGCTGGGGTTCAACGTTCAGGCTGGGCCTGGTCAGGGAGCAGTGGATATGTATAGATCTTGCCGCCCTACTCTTGGCATCGCTCGGACGTGTGCATTTTAGCCTCGGCGGGGGCCATCGAGGAGCATCCTGGATCATCGGGCGAAAGAACAACACGCACGAAGCAGCAGCAAGTGCACGGGGAGTGGGCGTCCGAGCGATGGCAAGCTCCTGGGGGCCCCCTGGAGCCACGAGGGAGGCTGTCTGGCCCGACTTCTGCTGTGTCTTGCGCCCTCTTTGAGGCGCGATCGCGGGTCTAGGTCTCGACCACGCGCAGAGGGGGGGGGTAGAAGGGGAGGAGGCTACTTGGAAGCACCCCTGCTTCTCAGAAGGCGCGGGCCTTGTCTGCAGATGTAAGGCCAGCGCCTTCTACGAAACAGCCTCGTCCTGAGAAGCCTTCCCCCTCCCCCTACTGCCCCCCTGCGCACCGCCAATGGTCGGTCTATTCCTAATCCTTGACTTCTTTCTGCGCCTTCTGCGGGGGGCGTCTAGCACAGCAGAGGCGCCCCGTCACCTGCAACCGCAAAAGCCATCTCTCGGGCGCCATCTCGGGCTGCCCGGACACATCCTGAAAGCCACGCAGGGCCATCTTGGACGCTCTAATGCCTCGCGCCCCGTCCAGAGCCCAGGAAGGGGAGTACGGGCCTGGCTGTTCTGGAAGGGCTGACCCTTTGAGTCAACCACGCCCAGAGGACTGGTGGGGCTTTTGCTTCTTGGCTCTTCTGGAGCTTGATCCTCAGGGACAGGGAGGTGCGATCGGGAGAAGCGGAATGAGATGGCGCTTCACACGCATGGAGGGTTATTTGGACATCCTTGCCTGTAAAACGACGTGAAGCTGAAGCACAAGCCCTTGTTCTGCCGTTTCTGCAAAGCTGTTGTAGGCTGTTCGTGTCGGCGCGGTGCAGGTCGGCGATCTAGAGTGGTACAGTGACGGCGGATTCATCAGGGCTGTAGTCTTTACAATCCCCTTGGAGCGCGTGCATCGGGCCCCATGTTACGAAAACGTATCTCACACCGCTACACCCTCGAACGAACGGCCAGGCAGTGGCATCCTTGATGTGCCTGCCCTCTTAGTCAGAGGCGCGCAGAGTTTCCTTGCGGGCTTCCCAGAGGTTGCACGCGCGCCACAGCGGTGACACTCTTGAGTGTTCGCCTACGCGCTGGCATCTGCTCGGTTTCGGGTCACCATCACGGACCTTGGGTGTGGAAGGCGCGAGCGCATTTGTGAGGCCCCATACATCTACGGTCTCAGACATCCAATGTTCTGTTTCTTTCCAATGCGGGCTCTCCAGAGGTGTCTGCGCTTCGGTCGGTTCGGCTGCGCCGCAGTCGGTTCGTTCGGTCAGTTTGATTCGGTCGGTTGTCGTGTCGTTGCTGCGTCGCTGCGCCCTCCTACAGGCGGCCCGGATTAGTAGGTCGACCCTGCCAGATCAAGGGTACCCTCGTGTCCTGTGTCTTGCGACCCATGACTCCTTTATTTCTGTGGCAACGTGGCCCTCGGAAGGGTCTTGTGTCCTCTCGCGTGTCCTCTCCAAACAAGTCCGACTGTTGCCTGCCTATGGCCTGCTGGTTTCTGTCGGTTTTACTTTCGCTGTCGGTTCGCTCGGCTTCGGCTGCATCGTCGCCGTGGACGGCCTCTGTCTCCAGCAGTCCAGCCCCTTTCCCCAGGGCAGCTCTTTATTGCAGGGCTGAACCTAAACGGTATTTTTCGTTTTCGTTTTGTTTTCGTTTTCCCTCGTTTTGTCTTCGATCCGCCTTTGACGCAAAACGAAGTCGAAACGAAAACGGCCTACGAAATCGCCCAAACATCGTTTAGGTCCACCCCTGGTTCTTTATTGTTGTTTCATCCCGAGTCGTTCAGTTGACGGACGCTTCGGGAGCCCCGAAAACGAACCCCAGAGGCCGAACACTGCCAAGAGCATCCGGTGCGAATCTTCCCAGACGCAGCATGTCTTCGGCGTCACCCTAACATTTGCACGCTATATTTGCGTCGCCCCCCCAGGGGCGACGCGCGCACCGAGAAATCTCATAGTACATGTGTCGTGGCAGGTGCTTTCTGGCCGCCCCGCTGGGGAAGCGATATACTACAATATTGGTATACTATATGTTCGGGTCGGCCTTACTTGAGACATCCTCCCATGCCCAACCACATGCATGATTGGGAATGGTGCATCGCCCGACTGCTGGCCAGAGTTATATGCTTGGACGCTTATGGTGTCAGCATCGGAAGGGTTGTCCATTGCATAGCATGGCGTTGAATATCAAAGCGTAGCATGGCAGAGCACGACGTGGCACTTAAGCACTGCACATCACAGCTTCAGCTGAAGGCATGGCATCGCGCAGCGGAACGCAACCTAGCATTGCATTGCATGCCGTGGCATGGTACGGGAAATGACGCCAGCGCTGCAGCGGGAGCACGATTCGGAACGAGCGGAAGCGCGGAACTGAGGCCAACGCTGCAGCAGGAGCACGATTCGGAACGAGCGGAAGCACGGAAATGAGGCCAGCGCTGCAGCGGGAGCACGATTCGGAACGAGCGGGGCCCGAAAATGAGGCCGGCGCCTCAGCGAGAGCAGCATTTTGAAAAACATGCAGGCGAAAACCCAACTCCGGGGAATCCTGTGTTTAAATAAACTGTACGCGGGGGGGGGCGAACACTCCCAACCCGTCATCAGGGGAAGGAGGAGAGTAGTATTCATATTGAGTAATTGTGGAGGAGGAGGAGGAGGAGGAAGATGAGGAGGAGGAGGAGGACGAGGAGGAGGCATTCTAGGCCCCCAAGTGGCTCCCTTGGGGTCACTGGCCAGAGGTTCCCACAGCTTGCGTCGGGCCGGGAAGCTGCCCCCTGAGGTCACCGGCTGTGGGTTCCCCTTTTTTCAGCTTCCCTTTGCAGACTACCTCAGTCAAGGACTCGTCCAGGAACTCCAGCCTCAGCTCCGCGAGTGGCCAAACGTTGGACCTGTGCCTCGTCTCCCCTCCCCCTTCTGGCGAGGACCATCGTGGGCGTCAGCCCGCTGGTGTGGACCATCATGGGCTCCACCCTTCGGCGGCTGCCATTAGGAGGGCTGCCATGGGGCTCGCTCCCACTGTCTACACTTGAACACTGTGGCGTCAGTTGCCAACGGAGGAGGCCGAGGACCCCTTCATGGACCCTCGGCCAACGAAGCGTCCATAAAAAAGAGACCACACGTGCTTCCAGTTGGAGGAGGAGGAGGAGGAGGAGGAGGAGGAGGAGGAGGAGGAAGAGGAGGAGGAGGAGAGGAGGAGGGGGGGGGGAGGAGGAGGAGGAGGGAGGGGTGGGAGGATGAGAGGGGGGAGGAGGATGAGGAGGAGGAGGAGGAAGGAGGAGGAGGAGGAGGGAGAGAGGAGAGGAGGGAGAGGAGGAGGAGGAGGATGAGGGAGAGGAGAGGAGGAGGAGGAGAGGAGGAGGAGGAGGAGAGGAGGAGGAGGATGAGGAGGAGGAGGAAGGGAGAGGAGGAGGAGGAAGGAGGAGGAGGGAGGAGGAGAGGAGGAGAGAGAGGAGGAGGAGGAGGGGGGGGGAGGGGAGGAGCGGAGGAGGAGGAGGAGGAGGAAAAGGAGGAGGAGGAGGAGGAGGAGGAGGAGGAAGAGGATCGTCGCTGGTTGATCGGTCTGGGCGTCAGGAGGGCGGCGCCCTGGCGACCCGGCCGGCCTCGTGCCGCTGCGCGGCAGGGCCAGCCCGGGGCGCGCCGCCCGTGTGTTGCTGGAGGGGCCCGTGGCCCAAGGTTTCTGGGCTCACGCAGCGGGGGCCAACGCTAGTACTTGGGCCACCTCCGCGTCATCCTTGATGCTCTGAGGAAGACCGAGACGTGACGGTGCCTTGGCGCGAATTGGCCTGACCAAGGCCGTAGCCTTGGAGGCGCCATTGGTGGGACCTTCGATGGGGATCTCCTGTTCGACCCAGCCGTCGAGGACCTGCTTCTGATTGTAGAGGATGTGCGTGATCGTTTACGGCATTTTGCCCCGAGTCGTCGCGAACCACTTCAAATTGCGTCGTGCTCCCCATGGTCTTGGCACGCGATGACCGGTGCAGCCTTCGCGTCCAGCGTCTTCTCCTTGACGGTGCCTGCTGGTCAGATATGGGCTGATCCCCAGGGGTTCGGTACAGTGGAAACCCATGCCAAGAGAAAACCCTACTTGCCAGGGTGCCCTGGCTTCCTGGGTTTCGGGATGGTTTTGCGATGGAAGGCGTGGCGTTCCCACGCCACGAATCAATGGACGTCCTGGGGTCTCAGGGCTGGGTTTCTTGTGGAAGGTTTCTTATGGTCGAGCTCTTACTGTAGGTGCTGATCCCCAGGGGTTCGGTGAGGTCTTGCTCTTCGGGTGTTTAACGACGCAGACTTCGGACTGGCCTCCAGCTTCGCCGCCGCAGATTTGTAGGTGCGTGCATTCTCAAGAAGAGACGGCAGCGTGGCAATGATCTGAGGTGTCGTCGATGGCTGATCGTACGTCGGGTATGTCCCTCTACAGGAGGAGTATCCAATAATAGTTAACACATAATGTGGTCACGATATCTAGTGCTTGTTGTGACTATGTTTGAATATTCGTTTGACTATTTCTAACTTGGGCATGTCCCTCTACATGACAAATATGCAAAACTGATCAGAGCTAGCCAGGGACGATTTTTTGTTTTTTTGGGGGGATCTGTTGAATATTGGTTGTTTGACAATTTTTGTGGTTCGTCCAACATCCGCCTGACGGGGGACACGCTCAACCTACGACTATTGTTATTTTTTCTTCCAGAATCCTCAGGCGATCGCAGGCATGGATTAATGGGGGCGTGGCTTAGCGACGGGTCCCGTTTCCAAAGGGAATCCCGGATTTCCGCCGCCGAAGAAAGCGGCGCCGGCCGCATTTTGGGGAGGGCACCTTCCCCGATCCAAATCCATGGATCGTTAATCCATGTTTGCGCGCCCCCGACAAAATCCGCCTGCAGGAGGACATACCCGACCTGAAGCTGGTCCCGAACGACGGCCTTGTCTGCTCAGGCGCCTCCGCCTGGCAAAGAAGGCGTAGGTCGCGACGGCGCCCGTTCCCTGACAAGGAGGTCGAATCCTCCTCCTCCTCCTCCTCCTCCTCCTCCTCCCCTCGCCTCCTCCTCCTCCCCCCTCCTCCCCTCCTCCCTCCTCCTCCTCCTCCTCCTCCTCCGCCTCCCTCCTCCTCCACCTCCTCCTCCCTCCTCCTCCTCCCCCGTCCCTCCCCTCCTCTCCTCCTCCTCCTCCTCCTCCTCCTCCTCCTCCTCCTCTTCTTGCCTCCCCCGTCCTGCCCCTTCCCCCTCCCCTCCCCTCCTCCCTCCTCCTCCTCCTCCTCCTCCTCCTCCTCCTCCTCTTCTGCCCTCCTCCTCCCCTCCTCCTCCTCCTCCCTCTGTCTCCCTTCCGCCCTGAGCCTCTCCTGCTGCTGCTCCTCCTCCTCTCCTCCTCCTCCTCCTCCTCTCCTCCTTCCTCCTCCTCCTCCTCCCTCCTCCGAACCTCCTCCTCCTCCTCCTCATCCACCATCCTCCTCCTCCTCCTCCCTCCTCCTCCCTCCCCCCCTCCTCCTCTTCCTCCTCCCCCTCCTCTTCCTCTCTCCTGCCTCCTCCCCTCCTCCTCCTCCTCCTCCTCCCCCTCCTTCCACCTCCTCCTCCTCCTTCCTCCTCCTCCTCCTCCTCCTCCTCCTCCACCGCCCTCCTCCTCCACCTCCTCCTCCCTCCTCCTCACCCCTCCTCCTCCCCCCCCCTGCACCCTCCGCGCCTCCCCCCCCCCCTCCCCTCCCCCTTCCATAATTCCCCTCCCCTCCTCCCCCCCCCTCCCCCCTCGCCCCTCCCCCCTCCCCCCTCCCCTCCTCCCCCCCCTCCCCCTCCCCCCTCCGCCCTCCCACTCCCCCCCCCCCCTCCCCCCCTCCCCCTCACCCCCCCCTTCTCCCCTGCTCCTCCCCCCCTTCACCTCCTCCTCCTCCTCCTCCTCCTCCTGCTCCTCCACCTCTCCCTCCTACTTCCTCGTCCTCCTAGACCTCCTCCTCCTCCTCCTCCTCCCACGTCGTCCGTCTTCGTCGTCCTCCTCCTCCTCCTCCTCCTCCTCCTCCTCACCTTCTATATCCGTGAGATTGAAGGTACCTGGCGCATCCCTGTCTCCCGTGGTGCCCGCGGCAAAGGGTACATCCTCGTCGCCGCGGCCTCGGCTCGGAATCGCTGCGCTGCTTGGGCCAAAGACCTGGGTCTTGCCATCACCGACACCAGCTCACAGCTGGGAGTGGATAGCGCTGGAGGCGCCGTTGTTCGCAAAAGGAAGAAAATGCAGAAGCGATTTAAATATGCACGCCAGCGCAAGTCAAAATTAAAAGCCCTCTCGAAGCAAGGGGCCCGCCTCGCCAGGGTTGTCCGCCAAGGGGTGATCCCGTCCGTGACCTACGGGTCGAGCTGTTTAGGAGTTTCGCCTGTTTCTCTGAACAGAATGCGTGTCATGGTTTCGGGCAGCCTGGGCGGTAGTGCGATTGGTCGAGACAGAGTCCTCCGACTCTGGACGTATCAAGTTCATCCTGTGGTCGAGGGATCGCAGAGGCCGCTATGCATGTGGACCACGCAGGCCTGGAATGGAGTGCATCAGGTAGACATGGCCAGGGCCTGGCGCAGGGAAATGTCACGCGAAGCGGCCAGACGGAGTCGGACGCTAGATCGCCCCTGGAGCCAAGTTCGAGGGCCAGCTTCTGCTTGTAATCTTACGCTGCAGAGGCTGGGCTGGTCCTGGCCTAGCTGACACACCATCCGCATTCACACTGGTGAAATGTTTGACATGCGCCGATCGGCGCCCAGCACGCTGCGCAAGTATATTTACCTTCGTTTAGAGGATCAAGAGCTCACCGACTGGGCAACGCAGCGAGGCATGCCCTTTCGGAAGCCCTTCCTCGAGCCTTGTCGCGCAGCAGTCAGGACAAAAAAGAAAAAGGGTCAGAAGCAGTCGGCTATGCTAGCTTTCCTGCGCAACGATTTTTGGACGCAAGATAAAGTGTGGAGAGCAGGCCACTCGGAAGATCGAAGGTGTCAACAGTGCGGGCACGCCATCGGAAATCAACACCATAGATTTTGTAGGTGTCCAGCTTTTCAGGGGCAGCGCCAGGCTGCAGGTGAATCTTATCCTGATATAATCCACCGTGCCTCCTCCTCGTGCTCCTCCTCCCGTCTCTTCTCCAGGGCTCTCGCGCCTCACCCACTGGGGGACCCCTTCCAGGACGTCACGCCCAGCATTGAGACCCTGGACCCCGAGTACGGGGACGATCCCCTTCTCTCGGGCCTGGCCTATTCGGATGGGTCGGGGGTCGGGGTCTCTGGGTTGAAAACGTTCGGTTGGGGCCTCTGCTTTGTTGACCAGTACGGTAATGTACGCAAAGCGATGCATGGCACGGTGCCAGGAGTAAGGCAGGCACAAAGTGTGCTTAGAGCTGAATTGTATGGTTTCTTGAATGTTCTTCGCCACGGCACAGCCCCTCTGCAGGTAGGGATCGATAATTCCACAGTCGTTCGGGGCTTCAGGCGAGGCCCAGTTTGGTGCCGCCAAGCCAGGCGACCGCATGCCGATTTATGGCACATGATTTGGAATGCGATTGAGGATTCGTTCTCGGGGGAGGGGGACCTCGTCGTCGTCAAGGTCAAAGCGCATTCCAAAAAGGCTCAGGCCCAGCAGCTCGAGGGACTCGAGCTGTGCAACTACCTAGGGAATCAATGCGCCGACCTTCAAGCGAAGGAGGGCGCCAAGCTAGACGCCATCCCGCCTCATACTCGAGACACGTGGGTGTCTAGGTTTAAGGAGGTTTGTGCTGTTCTCGGGCTCGTCGGTGACATGACCTGTAAGATAGGCACGTTTGATGACACCACAGGCCGTCTCCAGATTGCCCCCCAGCCCCCTGGCCCTCGGCCGCGCCGTTCGGTGCTGCCTCCTCCAGAGTCTCGGCACGTCCTGGAGTGGGATAGGGGGTCTTGGAGGTGTGCTTGTTGTGCTAGACGGGCCCACAGCTATAAGGCCAAGCTGGTGTTGTCTCGTAAGTTTTGCAGAAAGGGTTTCTCCTCCCACGGTAAGTGGAAGAAAATAGCGCGTGTCGACGGGGCTCCTTTGCAGGGGCCAAGGCGACACAAGCTGTCTCGAATAGGCCACTATACCTTCTGTCGAGAGTGCGGCGCCTTTTTGAGCGCCAGGGCTTGTGGGCTACTTACAGGATGTCCTAAGTACCCGAAGGACCACAACGCCAAGACTCGACGAAATCGTTTGCTGGCAGGTAAGCATCCGTATAAGAATGAGAGACTGCCTGGAGAGGTGGTCGCGCTGTCAAGAACCCAGGAATTGGATTTTCTGGAGTCGATTGGGATTGCTGCCAGGGCCTCTGCCGCTGGAAGCGGCGTGGAGGCACAAATCTTCCTCCGCCGCCTCAGGCGGTGCGGAGATCTAACCAGGTCTGTCGCAGGTGGACGCGAGGTGCTCGCCCACGCTGTGCTCGCGGGAAACCTCCTCCCCCTCCTCTCCGTCTCCCCCCCTCCTCCTCTCCTCCTCCTCCTCCTCCAGCCTCCTCCGCCTCTCCTCTTTCTCCTCCTCCTCCTCCTCCCTCCTCCTCCTCCTCCTCCTCCTCCTCCTCCTACCCCTCCGCCTCCTCCTCCTCCGCCTCCTCCTCCTCCTCCCTCCCCCTCCTCCTCTGCCTCCCCTCTCCCCTTCTCTTCCCGTCCTAGCCCCTCCTCCCCCTCCCCCTCCACCCCCCCCCCTCACCCCTTCCCCCTCCCCCTCCCCCAATACCCCCTCCCCCCCTCACCCCTTGCCTCCCCCTCCCCCTCCTCCTCCTTTCCCCTCCTCCTCCTCCTACTCCTCCTCCTCCTCCTCCTCCTCCTCCTCCTCTTCCTCCTCCACAGTTACTCAATATGAATACTACTCTCCTCCTTCCTCTGATGACGGTTTGGGAATATTCCCCCCCCGTGCGTATTGTTTTTTACACACAGGATTCCGCGGAGTTGGGTCTTCGCCTGCATGTGTTTCCAAAATGCTGCTCTCGCTGAGGCGCCGGCCTTAATTTTCGGGCCCCGCTCGTTCCGAATCGTGCTCCCGCTGCAGCGCTGGCCTCATTTCAGTGCTTCCGCTCGTTCCGAATCGTGCTCCCGCTGCAGCGCTGGCCTCATTTCCGCGCTTCCGCTCGTTCCGAATCGTGCTCCCGCTGCAGCGCTGGCGTTATTTCCCGTGCCATGCCACGGCATGCAATGCAATGCTAGGTTGCGTTCCGCTGCGCGATGTCATGCCTTCAGCTGGAGCTGTGATATGCAGTGCTCACATGCCACGTCGTGCTATGCCATGCTACGCTTTGATCTTCAACGCCATGCTATGCAATGTTATATTCGGGGCCGCTGTGCGATGCCATGATTGGCGTTGCAAAGCTTTGTGATGCAATTCTTCATGGGCAGTAATAACTTGTTATTGCAAGTCATAAGTCGACGCCCCCAGGCGGGAGTGTCCCGCCGTCGGCGCACCGCGCGATGGCGGGCGCCCGCATGTCCACCCGCCACGCGCCGCCGCTACGTCGGGCGGGCCAGGCCCCGCGCGGGCATGCTGGCGTGCCGCGCGGCCGTGCGTCGGGGTCCTTCCTTCCTCCCTCCGCTCCTCCGTGCACGGTCGTGTTGTCTCCTCTTTGCCGCCTGGCCGCGGGGCGGGATATCAAGTACCCGGTCATGTCTGCAACGCCCCACCTTCGTAGTGTGCACTCTTAAGGTGGGGCGGCTGGCCGGGGTGTGGTCCTCTGCCAGTGTGCGGCTCTGGACCAACCCTGGGGGCGACGCGCGGGGCGTCCGTTCGCCAGAGTGCGTCGGACGCGACCGCGGTCGCGCTTCTTTTCTGGCCCAGTGTGGCCCCTCGTGGGTGTCGTTGTCTAGGGCTTTTCCCTGCGGGTCCTGTGTCCCGTGGTTCACCTCGGGCCAACACCGCTATTCCTTGGTGACCTACGCGTTGTTTCTCCACCCTGGCAGAGGCTGTTTCACGGCCCTGAGGGGTCACGGCGTCGCTATCAAGCCCAGAGTGGCCTCTTACGTCGGCCCAGTGTGACCAACGTACCCATGGGGTTCCCCCTCGCGGGTCCAGAGCGACCTTCGTCTGGCGGCCCAGAGTGGCCAATCAGTAGCAGGGCAGCCGATGCCAGTCCGCATGTCTGGCGGCCCTAGAGCGGCCAATCTTCGGTAGGGCGGCCGTTGCGGCTTGCCTGACTGCCAGCAGACCCGCGCGTCTCGCTTGGAGGCCCATAGTGGCCAATCGTTGCAAACGTTTCTTTCGCATTCCCAGTGGGCAGTCGAGCGCGAGACTCGCAGCGCGCCAGACTCGCAGCGCAAAGGC